CCATGCTTTCAGCCAGCCAGCCAAGCTGGAGTTGCAACAGTGTTTCAATTATAGAAGCTAAACAATGCCCAGATTCCTGCTTTCAGCATCTGAGGTCTCAGAGCTGGAGCCAAGCCTCAGAGCTAAAGCCGGCTCTCAGTTCCAGTGACAGCCATAGAAGGTAAATAAATCCCAGAATTAAAAAAAAAAAGAAAAAAAGGAGCGTTTGGGAGCTTCAGTCACCCGCCAGTCTGAAAACGGCCCTCAGCTCCTCATCCAGGCTGGCCAGGCACCCCAGTGGGGACCCCCACCCTGAAGGGGGTGTGACTAGCTGCAAACAGCCATCATCCCCTCATCCAGGCTGGCCAGGTACCCAAGCGGAACCCCCACTCTGATCCAGGACACCCTTCAGGGCAAACCAGCCGGCCCCCACCCGTGCACCAGGCCTCTATCCTATATAGTAAAAGGGTAATATGCCTCCCAGCACCGGGATCAGCGGAGCCGAGAGGCCTCCCAGCACCAGGATCAGTGGAGCAGCGGGGCCTCACTTCCCCTGTGTCAAGTGGAGCCGTGAGGCCTCCCAGCACCAGGATCAGCGGAGCCGCGAGGCCTCCTAGCCCTGGAGCAGTGTGATGGGGGCAGTGCCCAAACCCCCTGATTGCCCTGCGGCTCTGTGTGTGACAGGGTGTGGGGCCACAACCTCCCTATCCGCCCTGCTCTGTTCGTGACAGGGGAAGGCACCCTAACCCCCCCATGGGCCCTGCTCTGTGTGTGACGGGGTGGAGCCGCAACCTCCCCATCGGCCCTGCCCTGAGTGTGACAGGGGAGTGCCCCAATCCCCTGATTGGTCCTGCTCTGTGGGTGACAGGGAGCTGCGCCCCAACCCCCTGATCCGCCCTGCTCTGTGCGTGACGTGGGAGCTCCCCAACCCCCTGATCGGTCCTGCTCTGTGTGATAGGGTACGGAGCCCCAACCCCCCTGATGGGCCCTGCTCTATGCGTGACAGGGGGCAGCGCCCCAACCCTCTGATCGGCCCTGCTCTGTGCGTGACGGGGTGGCGCCGCAACCTCCCCATTGACCCTGCCTTGAGTGTGACGGGGCGGCACCCCAACCCCCCCAATCGGCCCTACCCTGAGCGTGACTGGGGGTGGCATCGCAACCTCCCGATCCGCCCTGCTCTGTGCATGACGGGGTGGCGCCCCAACTCCCCAATCGGCCCTGCTCTGAGCCTGACCAGGGGCTGCACCTAGGGATTGGGCCTGCCCTCTGCCACCCGGGAGCAGGCCTAAGCCAGCAGGTCGTTATCTCCCGAGGGGTCCCAGACTGTGAGAGGACACAAGTGGGGCTGAGGGACTCCCCCCACCCCTCCCCCCCCGGCCAGTGCACAAATTTTTGTGCACCGGGCCTCTAGTATATATATATTTAAAAAAAAGAAAATGAGAAAAATTTTGGGATTTAGGGTTGGTGAAAAGTTCTTAGATCTGACTTTCAAAGTATGATTTATAGAAGAATAATTGGTCAGTTGTATTTCATCAAATTAAAATGTTTTGCTTTGTAAACAATCATATTAGGATGAAAAACAGGTTACAGACTGGGAGAAACTATTTCCAGTCCACATATTTGACTTATATGGAGAAAATATAAACAGTTCTAAAATCTTAACAGTAAAGATCCAAACAATCATATTAGGAAAATGGGCATAAGGCATGAAAAGGCATTTTATTGAAGAGGATATACGGATGTCAAAAATAAGCATACAGCCTGGCTGGCGTGGCTCAGTGGTTGAGTGTAGACCAGCTGTGGGGTGTGCAGGAGGCAGCTGATCAATGATTCTCTCTCTTCATTAATGTTTTTACCTCTCTCTCCCTTCCCCTTCCTTTCTGAAATCATTAAAAATATGTTTTTTAAAAAATAAGCACACGAAAAGATGTTCAGTATCACCTACCACCAGGGAAATGCAAACTAAGACCATGACAAGATGTTGTACACCTATCAGAACAGTTAAAATTAAAAATAGTGAGATAACCAAATGCTGGTGAGGATGTGGAAGACAGAATCTCTCATACATTGCTGATGGAAATATTTTCCACCTTGGAAAATAATTTGATGGTTTGTAAAAACAACAACATGGTTAAACATTGAGTTACCTTATGACCCAGCAATTCCATTCCTAGGTATGTATGTTGGAAAAAAGAAAACATAAATGCATATAAAAACTTGCATGCTAATGTTCACAGTGGCATTATTCATAATCTAAAAATGGAAATAACCAACTGTCCATCAACTGAATTGATAAGTAAAATGTATATTTTTCAATAAAAAGGAAGAAATTGCTAATGCAGTGCTGTGATGTGGATGAGCCTTGAAAACATGCTAAGTGCAAAAAGCCAGTCACAATAGATCAAGCTTTAAATTGTATAGAACTATTTATATTAAATGGCCAGTTTTAGAAAATTTAAATGTAGAGGAAGTATTTTAGTGGTTGTCTAGAGTTGGCTGTGGGAGTGACTTACTATATGGTATCTGAATTTCATCTCAATGTTTTTTATTTTTTATTTATTTTTTAAAATATATTTTATTGATTTTTTACAGAGAGGAAGGGAGAGAGATAGAGAGTTAGAAACATCGATGAGAGAGAAACATCGATCAGCTGCCTCCTGCACATCTCCTACTGGGGATGTGCCCGAAACCCAGGTACATGCCCTTGACCGGAATCGAACCCGGGACCCTTCAGTCTGCAGGCCGACGCTCTATCCACTGAGCCAAACCGGTTTCGGCTCAATGTTTTTTATTTTTATTGATGTTTTAGAGAGAGGGGAAGATAGAGAAACATCCATGTGAGACAATTGATAGTAGCATGAAATGAGTAGGTAGTATTCAGCTGCCTCTTGCACACCCCCTACCAGGCATTGAGCCCACAACCTGGGCATGTGCCCTGACTGGGTATTGAACTACTGATCTTTCTGTGCACAGGATGATGCCCAACCAACTGATCCACACTATCCTGGCCAGGGCTCAATAATGCTTTTTAAAAACTAAATACGCATTTTCTCTCTACCCCAGCAATCTCACATTTGGGCAATCATTCAAAACAAATGGAAACTGGAGTTCACACAAAAACCGGTGTATTATTGTTCATAGTGCTTTGCTTGTAATAGTAAAAATCTGGAAAGAACCACATTTTTTTGCAATAGGTGAAAGGTTAAATTGTAGTACATCCATACCATGGAATACTACCCAGCCATCAAAAATGGCAGTAATTATTGGTGCGTGCAGCAACTTCGGTGGATCTCAAGGTTATTAAGCTCAAAATCTCAAGGGCACATACTCTGTTCTCACATTTATATAATCTCAAATGATAGAACAAAAGTTGGGAGATGGGTAGCTGTGGGGGAGAGCTCAAGAAAAGGTGGAATACTACAGTCTTTTTTTTAAAATATATTTTTATTGATTTTAGAGAGGAAGGGAGAGGGAGAGAGAGAGATAGAAACATCAATGATGAGAGAGAATCATATATCGGCTGCCTCTTGCACGCCCCCAACTGGGGATTGAGCCCACAACACGGCCATATGCCCTTGACTGGAATCGAACCTGGGACCCTTCAGTCCGCAGTCCAACGCTCTATTCACTAAGCCAAACTAGCTAAGGCATTACAGTCTTTCTTAAAGTGAAGTGGGACTCTCTCATTTGCATGTAGTTTGTTTAGTGATGTTTCATATCTCCAAGGCTTACATTTTTAACTAAATGTGATTGATGGTGTCAAACATAATGTGTTTACTTAAAAAAAAAGTGAAGTGGGGAATGGAGAGGATCAAAATATACTGTCAGGAGGTGAAGAAGGAAGATACATACATGTATTACTTAAAATTACATGAACTAACATAGATATATTGGGAGAAGGAAGGATCAATACGAGTGAAAAATGCCCAAGATGTGAAGCTGCAATTGAGGAAGGAAATGTCATGTGTGTGTTAATTAAGGCATGCTGTGAATATGAAATATACATTGAAGTTGAAGCTTACAAACTAGAAATATCCCAGTGGTATTTTTTGCAGTTATGAAAATGAGACTATTTTAGACATACTGGGTTAAATAAATAAATGAAAGTAATTTCACCTGTTTTTACTTTTTTTTAAATGTGGCCACTAGAAAATTTGCAGTAACATGGGTGGCTTGCATTGTATTCCTCTTGACCAGCGGTTTTCCACCTTTTTCATCTCATGGCACATACAAACTAATTACTACAATCCTGCGGCACACCAAAAAAAAAATATGTTTCTTGCTGATCTGACAAAATGTAGGTATAATATTGATTCATTCACACTGGATGGCTATTGTGTTGGCTATTGTCATTTTTTAAATTTGGCAATCTAAGGAAAAAGAGGTCAGTGCTCCTGACTAAATAGTCTAGTACTGCATCTTTTAAAACTTCTTGCAGCACATGTGTTGAAAATCGCTGCTCTAGAATCTATAGTCAAGGATGGATGGGGAACATCTGACCCTCGGGCCATGTAAGGCCCAAGAAATCATTTGGTCTGGCCCTGCCAAGGCATTAGGGGTTGGTTAATTAAATGTTTGACCAAATATAGAAGGCTAATTTTAAGTTGATAATTTTGTATGGCCCATGAATGATGTTATAAATGTCCAAGTGGCCCTTGGCAGGAAAAAGGTTCCCCACCCCTTGTCTAGGACAGGCAGTTAGAATTGGTTCCCCTGGGGAGTAGGCTGAGTTTGGGGAAAGCTGGTTAAGGGAGAGTTGTTCTGTATTTTAAAGTCTTTGTTGCTATTGGATTTTTAAAACATATTAATGAAATTTGATAAAAAATTACCTTTTTAACAAAGGCTGTGTGTGGTCTCTCCCTTAAAATGTTAATTTGTCATATTCTAAATTACATAGTCAATGTTAACCATAGTAAGGAAATTTGGAATTAAAAGTAGTCATTGTCTTGTCCACTGTTTTTCCTTCATTTCAATTTGCTGTGATCAGAAATAAAGTACTTGTTTTTCCTGCTTTTGTCTAGCTTATTGCAGGAGTGACCAGGATATCACCTTATAGAAGTAATGCCCACAGAAAGCGGGAGCTGTTCAACTGCTCGCCAAGCAAAACAGAAACGCAAATCTCATAGCCTTTCTATACGAAGAACTAACAGCTCTGAACAGGAGAGAACGGGTTTGCCAAGAGAAATGTTAGAAGGACAAGTAAGTTAGTGCTGAGCATGTTTGTAATGTTCCAGAAATAGCCAAATATACACAGGTCTCTAAAGTAGAGAAAAACTGTGAGTTACCAAAAAACAAAACAAACCTAACTTCCCCTCCCTTAAATAAAACTACTGTCAAATACAATAGCCTACACAGTGACAGGATTCAATTCCAAGGTTAATGTTTTTTGTTTTTTTAAAAAAATATATTTTTATTGATTTCAGAGAAGAAGGGAGAGAGAGAGAGAGAGAGAGAGAGAGAGAGAGAGAGAGAGAGAGAGAGAGAGAAGAGAGAGAGAGGAGAGAGGAGAGAGGAGAGAAAGAGAGAAAGAAACATCAATGATAAGGGAGAATCATTGATTGGTTGCCTTCTGCACACTCCCTACTGGGGATTGAGCCTGCAACCTGGGCATTTACCCTGACCAGAATTGAACCCAGGACCCTTCAGTCCACTGGCTGATGCTCAGTCCACTGAGCCAAACCAGCAAGGGCCCCAGGTTAATGTTTTTACAATATATAATATTAAAAAAATGTGGGTGTGACACTTTGGATCAGTTTTTCTTCTTTGTGCTATTTTATAGTACAGTTTTTATTCTACAGTGCAGTTTTAATTGTCTGTCTAATAGTCTCAAGAAAAGGAGAATCAGGTATTATTTCAGTGATCTTTCTGTTCTCTGGAGAGTTTCTGGAATCAGATCTTTCAGTATGTTTTCTTGGCTTTATCCTGAGTTTTCTGTAGTGAGTATATTTATTTATTTGATGTCCCTTTTATTCAGACGAACTAATATTTTATTGATAAGGTTAAGTTTTCTTACACTTTTTCTAGTTCCTTTATTATGAAAATGTGTTAGTTTTTAAAGGACATTGTGAAACCTAAAAGTATATTTGATAATAAAATAGATTATAATTATATATACTACATATTGATAATAGTATATGTAAACATGTATAGAAGCATACATACATACAGTTTTATGACTGTCCCTTCATAATTATAACTAATTCAACAGCCATAATATAACAGGAAAATAAGGTTGAAATCTGAGAAATTGGCTCATTGGAATGTTGGATCTTATTAGAACCGTGCCTGGGGCTCTGATTTCTGGGCCGCCAGGATGCAACTTCTAGGAGGGCAGCAGTACACACTCAGAACCTAGTGCAATTGCTTGGCACGTAGTAAATATTTAGTTAGAACCCTGTTAATACGTATTGAATGGATGAACAAATGAACAAATATGTGGTTCTGCTTTCTAAAAGAAACTGTATTTTAACAGTATTGGAAATAAAAACCATAGACTTTAAGGAGCCTCCAAAATAGGTTTGATATTTTTAGTGTGTTAGTGAACTTGGGTGGCCGTAACAAAGTACCACATAGACTGAGTGGACTTAATAGAACTTTATCCTCCCTCAGTCTTGGAGGCTGAAAGTTGGAGATCAATGTGTGGGCAGTTTCTCCTGAAGCCTCTCTCCTTGGCTTATAGATGGTTGTTTCCTACTTGTGTCTTCACATGGTTGTCCATCTGTGTGTGTCTGTGTTTTCATCTCCCCTTCTGATAATGGCACCAATCAGATTGGATTAGGGCCAACCCCAGTGACCCCATTTTGCCTCAATCACTGTAGCTCTGAATAAAGTCATATTCTGAGATGCGGGAGGGTCAGTACTTCCACATATGAGTTTGGGGGGAAACACAGCCCATAACTCTTAGGAAAGAATTTGAACCAGAGCTGTGCAGTGGACCTTCTATGATGGAATGTTCTAGATCTTTGCTATCAGATATGGGAGCCACAAGCCTCAGGTGTCTCCTGTGACTGAGGAATTTAAAAAATTTTAATTAACTTACATTTAAATAGTCAAATGGAGCTACTGGGGATCAAACCCGTAAACTTAAATATGTGCCCTGAACGGGAATCAAACCTTTGACCTTTCGGTATACGGGACGATGCTCCAACTAACTGAGCCACATTGGCCATGACTAAGATATATCTTTTTAATTGTTAGATTTATTTACATTTCTAGCAGTGAAAAATTCTATAACCTTTGCTAGCATTTCCTAGCATGAACTGCCGTATGAGGTACGTGTGTTCTCTTGGCCTTCTGAGGGCCTGCCCTCCATTGTGATGTAGCACCATGGGTAATTGCATCTCAGGGTAACCTTTTGTGAAGGCCATTCAGAGCCCTCCAAGCTGCACAGCCTAGCATTGCTCCTCGGTCCTCATCGTGGTGTCTCCAGTGTTCCTTGGATGGTGCCTACTTGTCAATGAGTCCAGTGTCCTGAAAGGCTGGTGTGAGGTGCTTTGCCTGGTTCAGCAGCTTGATTTTCCCAGTGGGTTTGAGTTAAACAGTAGGTCATCACTCTCTAGAGGAGGTTACAGTCATGCTCTTTGAGTTTGTTGGGGAGCACTGTCAATAGTGAAGATTAGTGTGAAGAAGCCATAGTCAGTTATCTCTTAGATTCATGAGTCGGAAGTAGTTTAGAAAGCCGTGCTTAGCTCAGGGATGGGAAGCCTGTACTTGCACAGGGCTACTGAATCTCTGCGCATGGAGCATTGAGGGTCATCTTTTACCCAGGTACATGCTGCTGTGGTAAAATGTAATTCCCTTTACAAGCTTTACTGAATCCATAGCAGTTTTTCTGTTAGAGTTTTCTCAAGCGATACCATAAGTTACATTCCTCAGTTCAGGGTCTGTGAAGTCAAGTGGCACTAGGAGAGCTGTTAGGAAAGGTCAGGAGGAGCTCTGTCGGGCCACTTGCCCTCCAGTGGAAAAGTTCTCATTTCACTGCACGTTGCTTTTTGATTGTCTTTATTTTATCAAGTGACATTAACACTGACATCTTAGTTTTATCTCCATTACAATTACATTTTGAGAGGCGTTTACTATTTAAGTAAATGTAACATTTCAGTGGCTGAATCAGGATCTTAAACATTGTGGGTGTAGGTGAGTTGGAATTGATAGACATCAGAGGAGATTGGGCCTTGGGAGTCAGAAAAGCTTCCAAGTGACACTCTGAGGAGGGCTAACTGAATGAGGGGTTCTGCGGGAACATGGCACGGAGAGGGAAGCGACTAGGCAAGGGCCATGAGGCGGGGCAGACAGTGTGTTAAACATTAATTGTGCTGGTTTAGTTTAGTTTATTTTTCATTGTTACTTTAAGTTTTTATTTCTTTTTTTTTCATGTTTTTTTAATTGGTATTTTATTTTATTATTTTTAAAAAAATATATTTTATTGATTTTTTACAGAGAGGAAGGGAGAGGGTTAGAGAGTTAGAAACATCAATGAGAGAGAAACATTGATCAGCTGCCTTCTGCACACTCCCTACTGGGTAGGTGCTTGCAACCAAGGTACATGCCCTTGACCAGAATCGAACCTGGGACCCTTGAGTCTGCAGGCCAGTGCTCTGTCCACTGAGCCAAACCAGTTAGGGCTTTAATTGGTATTTTAGAGGGGTATTGAGAGAGGCTGCATGAACCAGTTCTATCAGATTCAGTTTGTAAACAAGGCTTCACATATATTTTCAGGTAGCTCGTAAAATTTACTTGAGCATTCTGTGATTACTTAAAAACATACTGCTAAAATGCTTATGTCATTAGAGATCATTTTGCCCAAAATTCTTGTCTTCCTAAGAAGTTAATCTGAAGGAATTTAATAAATGTTATATATATTTGCAACTCACTAAACATCAAAAAGTTTGTTCTGCATATAAATTTGAAAAGCTAGTTAGAAAATTACTGTGTCAGCAGTTAAAGTATTAAAACATTTTTTAAGAAATACTTATTAAGAATTTTGTTTAAGAATACTCTTAAGTGCTGGGAGGGGGGGCTCACTCAGAAGATACTCTACAATATAGGCCATGTCCTTAGGAAATTAGAGGAGAACGTAGACTGTGTCATTCTCCCTGTTATTAACAGTGTCTGGAAGGTAAATGCTTGTGAACACAGTTGGTGCCTAAGGCACTGCTTACTCATTACCATACCTAAAAATTTAGCTGAGCTGTTGCTTCTTCCCACTGACTTCCCATGAGGTTTAGACAGAACTGAAGGTGTGCAGAGCACGTGCTGAGGCACGCAGGCACCAGTAGCTAACTGGGAACTTACATGGTAATGTTTTCATTTAACTGATACAAATTTTGCTTTTACAGGTGAAATTTTTCTTTTTTCTCTCCTCATGATAATCTTTTACATAGAGTTACAGTGGACATGAGGATTCTATAAGGCACAATTTCTATTAATATGTAACTTATTAAAATTAATTTGTAATACTACATGATAGATTTAAACGCTATTTATAATGTAATTTAAAAAATCCTCACCCAAAGATATAGTCATTGATTTTATAGAGACAGGAAGAGAGAGAGAGAAACATGGGTCAGTTACCTTCCATATGCTCCCTGTAACCTAGGAATGTGCCCTGACCGGGAAGCAAACCCATGACCTTTCGGTGTACTGGACAGTGCTCCAACCAACTGAGCCACACCGGCCAGGACATAATATAATTTTATTTGTGAGAACTGCATGCCTTCTCTACAAATTGGGAATTTTTAAAATAAGGTAGGCTTATTTCCTCCCTTGTAAAAAAAACAATTGTGTTGTTTCGAAGAAGTGCTTATTCTTGAATCCCATATTGATTTTAGTTTTATCTATAGAAATTTGAGACTTTAAGTTCTGTAAGCATTTTATGTATAAGAAATAAAACATCTAAAGATATAAAAGCTTAAGATACAAGATAATTCACTTTGGAAAAAATATATTGGTACTTGGTATCAGAGTTTCTCATTCATTATGCATTTTAAACAATATCTTCTTTTTCTACAGGATTCTAAACTGCCTTCCTCAGTTCGCAGTACACTTTTGGAACTGTTTGGTCAAATAGAAAGAGAATTTGAAAACCTTTATATTGAAAATTTAGAATGTGAGTATTTCCTGTCTTAATATACTTTTATAACTTTTCACTTAAAAATCTTTGAGAGTCAAATTTGTGGGTGGACATTCACCACTGCATTTGTTTTCTTTTCTGCTGCCATAGTAAGATTAGTGGCTTTAAATAACACAATTTATTATCTTAAAGCTCTGCAGACTAAAATCAGGTGTGGGCAGAGCTGTGTTCCTTCTGGAGGCATGAGAAGGAATCTTCTCCTGTTTGTTTGGTTTGTGGCAGATTTTATTTACTTGGAGTGATTTATATATTTTTTAAAATATATGTGTTTATTGATTTCAGAGAGGAAGGAAGAGGGAGAGAGAGATAGAAATATCAATGATGAGAGAGAACCATTGACTAGCTGCCTCCTGCATGCCCCCTACTGGGGATCGAGCCCACAACCTGGACATGTGCCCTTGACCAGAATTGAACCTGGGACCCTTCAGTTTGCAGGCTGATGCTCTATCCATTGAGCAAAACCGGCTAGGGCTCTTTGCCAGTCTTATAGCTGAGTATCTTGTTCCAGTCAGTTTTGGTGTGGGTAACTGGAAGCTGCTGGCACAGGCCTTGAATGTGGTGTCTGGCATTGTTTGATGGTTTTCACTAATTGCTGTCTGATACTCATTTTCTGCATGCTCTGTGATTTTAATAAACTCCTTGGTAGTTTGGGCTTCATTCGAAGCAGTTAGTGAATCCTGTATATCTTTATGACTAATCAATTGAACACTGCCATTTTCATAATAATGAATCTAAATCTTAAGTACTCCAACCTCCTGGGCTTTAGGTAGTGATATTGTGATATTCATTGTGATATTCAATGACCATTCCAGAAGTTTTTAGGCTGAAACTGGTGGCTTTCAATACATGCAATAATGGTCTGTTGCCCATCTATAGTTTTAACATAAACAGCACAGAAACCATTGAAATAGTGATTTTTCACATAGGCCCTTAAAGTGCTGTCACAGGATTCTTTCCAAGACTTCAGACCTCCATCTACTTCCTCTGGCTGGGAGTAACTTGCTTCTTTCTGTAACTGATTAAACTTAAAGGAAATTTTGTTTCTTGGATTGAAAAATCTGTTATTATCCAGGTCACTGTGTTTTGTAATTGAGACTTGATCTTCATATCCTATCTTTATAGGTGTGAACTGATCCATATTATACTGAGCAAGTGCTTGTGCTGCCCCTTCCTCAAGGAAATTGCCATTCATTATTAAGGAGTAGCTGGACATTATTGAATGCTTCATTAATTCCTCTGGGGGGTATATGAGTGATGAATTTAGCAGCTATATGTACCTTCTCATTTGACACCTGATCCTCGAAGTCGGCCATCTTGTCTTTAAGTGTGTTTTTTTAAAATATATTTTATTGATTTTTTCACAGAGAGGAAGGGAGAGGGATAGAGAGCTAGAAACATCGATGAGAGAGAAACATTGATCAGCTGCCTCCTGCACACCCCCTACTGGGGATGTGCCTGCAACCAAGGTACATGCCCTTGACCAGAATTGAACGTGGGACCCTTCAGTCTGCAGGCCAACGCTCTATCCAGTGAGACAAACTGGTGAGGGCTAGGTGTTTTTTTAAAATCCTCACCCAAGGGCAGTCTTTGATTTTATTTATTTATTTATTTTTTTAGAGAGAGGAAGGGAAGGGGGGGGAGAGAGATGGAGGGGGGAAGAGAAAGAGAGAAACATTGATGTGAGAGAGATACATTAATTGATTTGGTTGCTTCCTGCACATGCCCTGACTGGGGTTGGGAACGAACCTGCAACCCAGGTATGTGCCTTTGACCAGAATCGAACTCAAGACCCTCATGGTTAGAGCAGGCTGACGTTCTAACCACTGAATCAAGCCAGCCAGGGCTTGTCTTTAGCTTTTTCTTTTTAAACTCTTCCTTGTTGAAAGTTTTACGTGATTCTCTTTCCCCCCATTGATCTCTTCTCACCCACTCGCCCCCCATCACAGACCCTCACCGCCCTACTGTCTGTGTCCATTGGTTATGCTTATATGCATGCATACAGTCCTTTGGTTGATCTCTCCCCCTCCACCCCCCTTCCCTGCCCTCCCTCTGAGGTTTGATGATCTGTTTGATGCTTCTGTGTCTCTGGATCTATTTTTGTTCATTAGTTTATTTATCCATTATATTCCACAAATGAGTGAGATAGTCTGATATTTAGCTTTCTTGGACTGGCTTATTTCACTTAGCATGATGCTCTCCAGGTCCATCCATGCTGTTGCAAATGGTAAGAGTTCTTTCTTTTTTACAGCAGCGTAGTATTCCATTGTGTATATGTACCACAAGTTTTTAATCCACTCATCTGCTGATGGGCATTTAGGCTGTTTCCAAATCTTAGCTATTGTAAATTGTGCTGTTATGAACATAGGGATGCATATATTCTTTCTCTTGTCTTTAGTTTTTTAAAACAATTTTATTTATCTGAAACTAATATAAAATACTGTATGTAAACTAATTGAAAAAACACTAAAAAAAATTTTTTTTAGAAGCAATTTATTTCCTTAAAGTAGTGATTTTCAACCATTTTCATCTCATGGCACACGTAAACTAATTACTAAATGCTGTGGCACACCAAAAAATATATTTTTTGCCAATCTGATCAAATAAATAGGTACAATTTTGATTCATTCACACCAGATGGCTATTGTTGTGTTGGCTGTTATTTTTTTTATGTGACAATTTAAGGGAAAAGAGGTCAGTGCCCCTGACTAAATAGTCAGGTATTGCATATTTTAAAAATTCTTGTGGCACACCAGTGTGCCTGATGTGACATACCAGTTGAAAATTGCTGCCTTGAAGAATCAATTAGTGTAAAAAAGAAACATATCTGTAATTATCCCTCCTGTTGATCCAAACCACTGTGCAAAGGAAAACATTTGCTGCATTTTTTGCTTTTAGTTCTTCTAGTAATTATTTTATAAACTATCTGTTTTTGCTCTGTCAACTTTAGTTCACATGAAGTCATACTTTGTAAAATGTTAGGAAATGATGTGTCTTTTACCCCTCACTGCTCTATTACTTTCCAGTTTTTGTTATTTTCCAGGGTTTGTGTTTATAAAATTTTTAACCATAATCAGGTCTTTCGTCCCTTATAAATTGATTCTAGAAATTGAATACTAATAAACAGCTTTTGTATTATTAGAGTATGTTTACTCTAGAACTAAGTGGTGTGGTTGGGTCAGTAGTGAAGAGAGTATAGTCCTATGTCATTTAAACTTTGCTATTAGAAAATTTAATGTTTTGATAATTGGATTTTCCTTGTAAAGCTATCTTGAAAATTTACAGAGGAAGAAATTATTTCAACATTTTATAAAATAAAATTAGGTACTATGTACTACTGCATCTGATTTTAAACATTTTTTTAAGTACCACAGTTGTATGGACCCAGGTATTGTTGAATTTCCATTGTGATTTAAGGCCTTGTGTTTTATGAATTTTTACAGTCTTTCAAGAAAAACTGTAGGATTTATAGATGACTAATTTTGGAGGGTCAGTGGCTTCCCCTTGCCTGTGAGATAGAGTTGAAATTGCTCAAACTGGATTTATTCAGAGCCTTTTGCGCTTGGCCTTGTTTCTAGTTGATCTCATTTGCACTTTCACCCAGACACTTGGCCTCACACTAGTCTGAACTGATCTTGTCCAGGCCTGGGAGGCAGCATGGCAGGCTCATAGCCTTAGTGCTGGGTGGATTAGTGGCCAGACTGGGACCAGCTGCAAGACTATAGTAGGTTGTGTCCTTCGATAAGTCCCTTCTCCCACTGGTCTCTTTTCTCATCTGCATAGTGTGGAAACCGGGATAATAGCATCTGTCCATAGCACAGCCGTATCTGCTTCCTCCCTCCAGTGTCTCTGCTCATTCTCTTCTTCAGAGCTGATGTCCTTCCTCTTTACTCTCCTCTTCTGTTCCCATATACCTCTACTTCTATTTATTTTTCATAACTTCAGTTTTTTTTAAAAAATATATTTTATTGATTTTTTACAGAGAGGAAGGGAGAGAGATAGAGAGTTAGAAACATCGATGAGAGAGAAACATCGATCAGCTGCCTCCTGCACATCTCCTACTGGGGATATGCCCGCAACCCAGGTACATGCCCTTGACCAGAATCAAACCCGGGACCCTTCAGTCCGCAGGCCGACGCTCTATCCACTGAGCCAAACCGGTTTCGGCCATAACTTCAGTTTTTAATCTTCCTTATATATAATCCTCACTTAGTACTCTGTAGTGTCATGCAACAATGATTATGTTTTTTTATTTTATGTTTTTTCCCCTTGATTTCAGTGTTCAGCTAGACTATAATATTACATTTAGTTTTGGACAATATCAGGATAATGTTTTTAAATATATAGAATAAAATACAAAGGAAAAGATTATATTTATATCCAAGAACTCTGCTTGATGAGAACCTTTTTTTTAAATATGTTTTTTATTGATTACGATATTACATCTGTGTCCTTATCCCCACGTTATTCCCTACCCCCCGCCCCCTGCTCATGCCCCCCCCCCCCCCCATTGTCCATGTCCATTGGTTAGGCCTATATGCTTGCATATAAGTCCTTTGGTTGATCTCTTCCCCTTACCCCCACCCTCCCCTACCTTCCCTCCAGGGCCCGACAGTCCAATCAATGCCTCTCCGTCTCTGGATCAGTCCTTGTTCATCAGTTTATGTTGTTCATTATATTCCACAAATGAGTGAGATCATGTGGTATTTATCCCTTAAAGAATATCCTTCAGCATTTCATATAATCCTGGTTTGGTGGTGATGAACTCCTTTAGCTTTCCCTTATCTGTGAAGCTCTTTATCCGACCTTTAATTCTGAATGATAGCTTTGCTGGATAAAGTAATCTTGGTTGTAGGTTCTTGGCATTCATCACTTTGAATATTTCATGCCACTCCCTTCTGGCCTGCAAAGTTTCTGTTGAGAAATCAGCTGACAGTCGTATGGGTACACCCTTGTAGGTAACTGACTTTCTTTCTCTTGCTGCTTTTAAGATTCTCTCTTTGTCTTTAGCCCTTGGCATTTTAATTATGATGTGTCTTGGTGTGGTCCTCTTTGGATTCCTTTTGTTTGGGGTTCTCTGTGCTTCCTGGACTTGTAAGTCTATTTCTTTCATCAGATAGGGGAAGTTTTCTGTCATTATTTCTTCAAATAGGTTTTCAGTATCTTGCTCTCTCTCTTCTTCTGGCACCCCGATAATTCGAATGTTGGTACGTTTGAAGTTGTCCCAGAGGCTCCTTACTCTATCTTCGTATTTTTGGATTCTTTTTTCATTTTGCTTTTCCAGATAGGTGTTTTTTGCTTCTTCGTATTTCAGATCTTTGACTTGATTCTTGGGATCCTCTCGTCTGCTGTTGGATCTCTGTATATTATTCTTTATTTCAGTCAGTGTATGTTTAATTTCTGACTGGTCCTTTTCCATTTTTTTGGCATTCTCATTAAGATCCTTGAAGGTCTCACTAAGTTCCTCCGAGGTTCGTAGAAGATTCTTGAGTAACCTTATAACTGTGGTTCTGAACTCTATGTCCTCCATTAGTTTGCTTTCCTCCATTTCTTTCATTTGTGACATATTTCTTGTCTTCGTGTTTTTGGCTGACTGAGAGGAGCCTCTGTCTGTGCTGGAGACACCCTTATGTGTGCGGGTCCACCCAGCTGGGGCTACAGCAATATCAACAGATTTCTCCTCTTTGTTTGGAAGTTTTGGAGCTCTCTGATTCACTGCAGTTAGGCTGCAAAAGCGCAGATGCCTCCCTTGTGCCGCTGAGCACAGCTTGGGAGGGGATGTAGTGGGGTGGGGTCTCAGAGAGTTCCCAGGGCAGGGCAAACAGCAACGGTGTCGTCAGCGACCCGTGACTCCAACTTTGCGATTCCCTGAGTGCCGCGCACCCCCACAGCCCTGCGAGCAGCTCTGTGAGAAGCAAGTCACCTTCGCTTTCCGACCCGCTGCAACACAGCCCCATTTCTCCCCGTAGGAGCCTGGGACCCCAGCCTCTCGCTGTAAATGAGTTCAGTGGGTTCGAGAGCTTGACCCCTTCCGATTGAAAAAAACGGCGCACCCAGGTGCAGCAGCTTCGCATGCGCCCCCGTACCTCTGTTCTTGGTGCCTTTCCCCTCTTACTCGGTCTCAATGCGCTTTTTTCTTTCCTGCTAGTTGTAGAACTTCCACTCGATCAGCTTTCCTGTGGTTCTGGATCAGCCGTGGGCAAACTACGGCCCGCGGGCTGGATTCGGCCCGTTTGAAATGAATAAAACTAAAAAAAAAAAAAGACCGTACCCTTTTATGTAATGATGTTTACTTTGAATTTATATTAGTTCACACAAACACTCCATCCATGCTTTTGTTCCGGCCCTCCGGTCCAGTTTAAGAACCCATTGTGGCCCTCGAGTCAAAAAGTTTGCCCATCCCTGTGGATGATAGCTGTTTTGTCTTATAGTTGTCGTTTTAATGTTGTTATGGGGGGCAGCACGTACAGGTTTGTACCTTATGCCGCCATCTTGGTTCCTACCTTGATGAGAACCTTGATAGCATCATGTCTTACCTGAGTAGAAAGAGCATAGGAGTTTCTATTTTTGGAATCATGTCTTAAATTTTTTAAGAACTCTATAAATTGTGATTTTGTTTACAGGATATTATTCTGGTCTTTGTTTAGACAATATCAATATATAACATTTTTATATGCTCAAGGTTTGGAAGTAGTCAATATATTTCAACAAAAAGTACACATTTTTAACTTTTTTCTTTTTTTAAACAACATTTTTAAAAAATTGATTTCAGAGAGGAAAGGAGAGAGAGAGAGAGAGAGTGAATCATTGATCATCAGCTGCCTCCTGCATGCCCTCCCCCCCCCCCCCCCCCCCCACACACACACTGAGGATAGAGCTCACAACCTAGGCATGTGCCCTTGGCCAGAATTGAACCCAGGACCCTTCAGTCTGCAGGCTGAGGCTCTAGTGAGCCAAACCAGCTAGGGACACATTTTAACTTCAAAAAAAATTTTTTTTATTTCCAGTGCGTAGAGAAATTGAGACTCTTAATGAGCGTTTAGCTGCTGAAGGACAAGTAATCGATGGGGCAGAACTGAGTAAGGGCCAACTGAAAACTAAAGGTAAGGGGAGTATTTGTGAATGGTGCCCTGCAGATTATATGGGGGGGAATTTGGAATTAAATGTAGACATGATTCATTGATTTTTGTGATCAGCAATACTTGAGTCTATAATTTAGGTGTAGGCACAGAGTGAAGAAGGAATTTCCCGTTGCCCCCATGTCCACATGGACAGACAAACCCTCCCAATTGCACTGTCTTCCCATGTGAAATGGACGATCCCATTAATGACTGCAGTGATATCCCAGCTCTGAAAGTTGGTGGCTCCTTAGTTGTATGGCTGTATTGATTGTCGATTCTCTGTCTCTGCAGCCAGTCACAGTACCAGCCAGCTTTCTCAGAAGCTGAAGACCACTTACAAGGCCTCCACCAGTAAGGTATGCAAGGCGCTGGCTCGTGGGCCAGCCATGTGGTACTTAAGGTGGGCATATGTATACTCTAAGTTGCATATTTTTAATTAGATATGTCTGATAGGAAAAGATAAACTTCTGGTGTTAAATCAGTTTTTAGAAGGATAGATTTGTTAAATGGCCACAGTGTATTGACACCTAGATACTAATACTTGTTGAGGTGAATATATTATACATCAGTAAATTTGTGTTTTTTTTGAGGAAAAACATATTTTGTATTATTATTTGGCTTGATACAGAGACTTTGAATTTGGAGAAAACTAATATATGGGTATAAAGCAATGAAAAATTAATTCTGAACCTTAGTTAAGTTTTAGTTCAATTTCTCTAATTTTCCAAGTATGATCAGGAAGTGAAGGTCTGTCTCCAAGGCAATTTTTTTTTTGGTGTGGTGTTTTGCTTTTTCTTAAATTACCTTGTTCTAATCTTTTTAAAGTGGCAGGATTTAATTGCTTGGAAATATCTATGAAGAATTACTATTATGAAGTAATATTTTGAGGTAATTTTGTATGCATCTGTACTTCGGAGTATTTTGAGTATACAAAATATAAAATAATTACCTAATCTTAACAAATGTACACTCCTTTTCTAAACCTGAGGGAAAGTTTAAATTTATGGTGAGTCTGCTATCCTATATAATAAAAGAGAAATATGTAAATTGACTGTCCCTCCGCTATGCTCACCAGCCAATCAGGAGTGAGTATGCAAATCACCCTGACAAAGATGGTGGGTTAATTTGCATACACAGGGGTCAGGCGGAGAGCAGAGTGAGAGAGCTGGCATCTTAGGGGGACGTGGCTCCCTCGGTTGCTCCCCCAAGCCACCAGGTGGAGAGCAGAGCAGGAGAGCCTGCAGAGAGTGGAGCAGCTTGGGGAACTTGGCTCCCCAAGCCGCCAGATGGAGAGCAGAGAGGCAGAGCTGGTGGCTTGGAGGACTTGGCAGAGTGGGAGGCCGTGGGACAGAGACAGAGCAGGAAGGGAAAACCAAGAGCACGGGGAGCAACAGGAATTCTGAGAATAGTAGTTCTGGTGGCAGTCCCAGGACCATAAGTGGAAGCCCAGAGTGTGGGGAGCACCAGGAATGCTGGGAATTGTAGTTCTGGTGGCAGACGGATCTCCTAGACCAGGGGTCCTCAAACTACGGCCTGCGGGCCACATGCGGCCCGCCAAAAACATTTGTTTTTTTACTTCAAAATAAGATATGTACAGTGAGCCCTGACCGGTTTGGCTCAGTGGATAGAGCGTCGGCCTGCGGACTGAAAGGTCCCAGGTTCGATTCCGGTCAAGGGCATGTACCTGGGTTGCGGGCACATCCCCAGTGGGAGGTGTGCAAGAGGCAGCTGATCGATGTTTCTCTCTCATCGGTGTTTCTAACTCTCTATCCCTCTCTCTTCCTCTCTGTGAAAAATCAATAAAATATATTAAAAAAAAAATAAGATATGTGCAGTGTGCATAGGAATTTGTTCATAGTTTTTTTTTAAACTATAGTCCGGCCCTCCTACGGTCTGAGGGACAGTGAACTGGCCCCCTGTTTAAAAAGTTTGAGGACCCCTGTCCGAGACACTAGAGCAAAGTGAGCCTGGAGCAAGTTACTGTTGTGGTGGGGGATGGAGGGAAAGCAAAGGTGAGAGACGTAAGTAAAATCAGAGTGTCTAGGAAAAATTAAAGGGAAGATATCCTAAAACTTCCAGGAAATCTCCACCAATGGAGCAAAGAAAAAAAAAGCCTCTATTATTCTGTGAGCAACAAACCAAACTGGGTTGGCTGGGTCTCAGACAGTTCGCTCATATGATTGCAAAGACAGAAACTCCTAGATTGGAGAGGCTCTCCTGAGGGCTCCCAGATTGGGCTGAGGGACCCACAGGTCGGGCTGAGGGACCCACCCCCCAGTGCATGAATCTTCGTGCACCGGGCCCCTAGTAAAGACATAAATAGTTATTGTTAGCTATTGTTTTTCCAGTTTGTTCCCTGAGCTTAAAGTTACTTCCCTTAACATCCAAAGTGAGATTAACTGCAATTAATGTTGCAGACTTGGTCTTTCTGCTCACTTGGAAGTCTTTGGAAATTCTTAGTTAAAAATCTGAGTATTGCTGACATTTTCTTGTGTGTGTGTGTGTTTTTTTTTTGTTGTTGTTGTTAATCCTCACTCAAGGATATTTTTCCATTGATTTCCAGGGAGAGTAGAAGAGAGAAGGAAAGACAGAGAGAAACATTGATGTGAGAGAAACACATTGATTGGTTGCCTCCTGCACAAGCCTTGACCAGGGCCCAGGCTGGGGAGGAGCCTGCAACCAAATACATGCCCTTGACTAGAATTGAACCCGGGACCCTTTGGTTTGTAGACCTACACTCTGTCCACTGAGCCAAACTGGCTAGGGGTGTTTTTTTTTTTGTTTTTTTTTTTAAATAACTTTGGAATGTAAATGGTTAAATTTTTTTGGATGTATTTAGCTTAAACTTAACCATACTTTAAGTTTTTTTTTTTTTTTTAAATATTTTATTGATTTTTCACACAGAAGAAGGGAGAGGACAGAGAGCTAGAAACATCAATGAGAGAGATTGATCAGCTGCTTCCTGCACGCCCCCTACTGGGATGTGCCCGCAACCAAGGTACATGCCCTTGACCGGAATCGAACCTGGGACCCTTCAGTCCGCAGGCCAACGCTCTATCCACTGAGCCAAACCGGTTCGGCCAGACTTTAAGTTTTTAATAAATCAATGTTAAACTTTTTTCAAATGCGGTGAGGTTATGTTCTTCCTCATTTAACTTCTTATTATAGTACTAGAGGCTCAGTGCATGAATTCATGCACAGGTGGGGTTCCTCAGCTTGGCCAGTGAATCGGGGCTGGCTGGCCAGGGGTGGGGCCGGAGGTTGGCTGGCCAGCCCCGTCCTTGATTGGGGCCCATCTGCTGTGGGCCTGGGCCAGCGGGGGAGAGGGTGGGAGGGAGGGAGCCGCGGGAGGTTGATCGGCCAGCTGTAGGGAGGGACTGGGGGAGGTTGGCTGTGGGATCACACTGACCACCAGGGAACAGCTCTTGCATTGAGCATCTGCCTCCTGGTGGTCAGTGTGCATCATAGCGAATGGTCGTTCTGGTCGTTCAGTCTTAACCTTCGCTTAGGCTTTTATGTATATAGAGATTATATTGTTTATTTAGTGATTTTAGCTTATGTATATAATATAAGGTCTTAGAATGCCAAAACTTTCTGATAATTTTGTTTTTTGTTTTTTATTGATTTCAGAGAGGAAGAGAGAGATAGAAACATCAGTGATGAGAAGGAATCATTGATTGGCTGCCTCCTGCATGTCCCCTACTGGGGATCAAGCCCACAATCTGAGCATTTGCCCTTGACCGGAATCAAACCTAGGACCCTTCATCCTGTAGGCCGTCGTTCTATCCACTGAGCAAAATGGGCTAGGGCTCTAATAATTTTTGAAGTAGAGGAATAAGGGATTATACAAAATTATTCCTTACTATGAGTAGTGAAAAATAAGATTGGGGCAAAGGTAAGGGTGTGTACAATAATACTTTGCTTTTAAAACGAATGTATTTAAAACCCAATCATTTTGGATACTAGAAATTGATCTGAATTTATGAGAAGCATGTGGGTAATGATCTTTCTAGCATTGTGCACAGTGTGAGTGTACCCATTTTAAAGAATAACAGTGAACATATATGATATTATTTAAAAATGGGAGAAATGATCTGATATCAGAATGTATTCTGATTGGTGCCATGCATGTTCTGGGTAGTAGAGCTTGTACAGTGCAGCAGGTAGGCACTGTGTTCTGGGTTTATTACTTTTCTCCTTCTGACTCAGCAGGTAGGTAGGTCACGTGGTTGGTGACATAGTAGAAAACCAAAGTTCACTGAGCAAACTAGGAAGGAGGTAGGCAGGCACGACAGTTTAATCCGCAAACCACTTGAAAGAAACTTGCGAAAACATTCACACATTGGATTTTGTTAAAGTAGTATAGATTATATCTCAGTTAAAATGATAGTTAGGATGTGTGAGTGTCCATTTGTTGCTTCATCATGTTGCTTTTCTGTCATGAATGTTTTCTCTGAGTAGTTCAGTCTTTGGTGGGGCCTTCTTGCAATTGTGGCTAAGCAGTTAACACTTTTAAGAACAGAGCTAAGAGTTGGTCACCATGTAATGGCATTAGGAAGCAGCACATGGAGCAATGTGTTAATGTTCATGGACTGCCTATTACCTCTTCCAGAAGTCCACCAGAAATGTTTCTGTGAGTCAGTGCCCCTTGGTCTTTACTGTTCCCGTGGGGCCGGTGATGGATGTGGCTTCAGTTGTTCATTTCTCATATTCATACAGTCTGTGTGAGAAATGGCACATTTGGAAAATTAAACTTGCTACCACTTATTGTGGGGGTAGGCTCTGCATGTTTTTCAACTCACCCCTTTCTAAATGTTACATTATTTAACACTTGAATGGCACCTAGACAGCAGCGTTTCCACGTGGAGGGACAATCTTACTAGGTTGAGTAGGATATGAGCTTTCAAAAAGAAGAAGGTTTGAGGTTGACCTGGTCCTTTTGTAATTCCATGTATATTTAAGTCAAGTCAGACAGCACCTGTGTATGGTGCTGGTGAGAATGGGTCTCCTAACACATTTGTTCTGTTACCTTCTGTGTTAGAAATAACTTGGTACTCACACCCGAGTTGATGCAACAGTGGGTTGTGTTTTCACTGAGAATGGACTGAGACATCTTTTTAGGGCTTTGCTAACTCAGAGTTTCAAACAGCTGTATAATGCCACCAATTTTTCTTTTTCACTCGATTTTACAGTTTTACAAGTGAAATTCTGAAGAGTTCTTTGTGTTGAATTTTAGTGTCTTCCTCACATGCTTTCCACTTTTCCTAAAAGGAAAGGGAGAATTGTTTGTGTCATGTTAGATGATGCTGCACCATCTTGTGGCCTGTGTGGTGCTCGGGTCTGTCCCCATTAGACTGTGAGCTGCTTGCACCCTGGCTGCTATCACTGCCCTGTGCCTCCTCCTAGTGTGGTGTGGTCACCAAACAATGCTGGAAAAATGCTGTTTAGAAGGGCCATCGTTTGGTGTTTCCCAAAAATAACGTGGTTCGTATCAGTCACCCCAAACAAAAAGAAACACAGCGAAAGTCCCCAATAATAAAAGTAATTAGTGTTAAGGGTTTGGGGTGTATCTTTCAGAATTTGGAAATTTTTTGATGATTTGGATTTTGGAAGAGTGACTTGCAACACATTAATAGGCTTTTCATAGTAGGACATGCTTATGGGAAGTGGGGGACTTGGGGCTCTTTGGGGCCTTTGTAAGGACTTCATTCCTGCTTTGTGATATCCAGCTGGTTGAGTTCCACTGCTTGCATATATGTTGTGTTCCTTTAGTGTTTTTAATATTCTGTTCAATGATTTATGCATTTTCAAAACATCCTTTTTTAACTTGGAAAACATTTGCACAGTAAATCATCTACAATATTCTTTCCTGTCACAATTTTAGATTGTCTCCAGCTTCAAGGCCACCACATCAAGGGCTGTGTGCCAGCTTGTGAAGGAGTACATCGGCCACAGGGATGGCATCTGGGATGTCAGTGTGGCGAGAACACAGCCTGTGGTGCTGGGGACCGCATCTGCTGGTGAGTCCAGAGCTAGCCCCGCTGCTTGTCACGCATGATTGCACAACAGCTGGTGTGATTGAATGACCTTTGGGTGTTGGTAGCAGAGTTACCCTGGGAGCAGACATGTGGCCGAGCAGTCATTCATACAAAGTCTTGACTTAGTGCTTAGTTCTGATGCCCCTATCGGGCCTGTCTTAGTCTGTGGGTATGATGCCATGTTTCCCCAGGGTATATAGCCAACTCTGTTAAGGAATCACTATTCGAGGCAGCAGGAGGTGGAATGTCTTTTAAACATATTAGGTATTTTTTTGATTAGCTTTCTTGTTATTTATGCTAACTGTATATCTGCTTTTGAAAGTACATTTCCCATTTTTCCCATTTGTAAGGTGTGGCTGAGGGAAGTGCTATGTGGTCTCTGAAGGGGACTGCTGTCCCAGGATTTAGGGAAGTGGGGCTACTGCTGCCCTGAGTTTGCCTGTGGGAATCACAGGTGAGCCTTATTGAGACTCCTATCTTTTCACCAATGAAAAGGCATTTTTTGAAAGCTGTCTAATTAATGCTCCTTCAATTAAAAATTGCTAAAATTAAAATGCTGCCCACGTGTTGGAAATGAATTCCAGCTGTGACAAGTTACTCACTAGAATCTGCCTTTTCAAGTGGAAATAGAAAATGTAAAGCTAGTTAGAATGACGAAGAAATTTTTTTCTCTTGATTAAAACTCTGTTTGCACACAAGCATCCCAGATTATTTATGGAATTTACAACTAATAAAGAAGAATAAAAAGGTCCTTTTCTGATGTCTCTGAAATCTCACTTGGGTAATTGGCATTTATTTTTCAGATTTCCCTATTAAGTCTACTTTTTATCTTTTCCTTATGCCCATAAATGGAAAGGTCTAAAGGAATATTTATTAAATATCAAATAATTTAGAACTGTATTTAGATGCTATTTACATTTGAATATCACATGGTGTTCTGAAAAGTTTTAATATTTCACTAAAAAAATGAACCTGAGATGTAAATGACCTCTATATTTAAGTCTCCAGTGGGGTGCTGTCTGTAACAGTGAACCAGGAACTCAGGACCCTGGTTTTTCCCCTTGCCTGTAAATGACCCCAGACAAGTCACCAGCTTCTCCCATCTTTTGGAAGTGTTTGTAAGTTTTACAGTTTTAAAACTGATCAGTTGAATTACAAACTAGTTATAATCAGAGTTGCAGGAGATAGTAGTAGTAATGTAACTTCTCATTTTTAGAATATTTGTCTTACTCTTTTATTAAAAAGACCATGTAGCTCAGTTCCTCTTATTTGTTTCAATTTGCAGATCACACAGCATTGCTGTGGAGCATTGAGACGGGGAGGTGTCTCATCAAGTACACTGGCCATGTGGGGTCAGGTGAGTGCTATTACATAAACAGGTCTCCAGATGGAGGCTTGCTGAGTTGGTGTCGGGACAGTGGGGCATTCTCATAGACAGACAGATGCCATTCCTCTAAGTGTGGGCTTCACAAAGGAAAAGCTCAGCTCCCTAAACAACGTCATATAGGAGTTGTCTGTGTTTTATTTAATGTTGCACAGAAAGGCACAGGTAGATAGTTTTGAAACTGAAATACGTGTGTTATTTATCAAAAACTGCGTAGTCACTCTAGATTCACTTTCCTATAATCGGACTCAATGTAGGCTGCTGTCTGCCCCAGACCCTTGCCTGCCATTGATGCTGTAGTTAACACAGCAGCTCTTCCCTGCCCTTTCTGTGTATACCCTGTGTGTCCAAGTGTTCTGATCAAATTTCACCCACTCTTGTCCCACTTCCTTTGTGGGTCCTTCCATCTGGAATGCATCATCTTCAGTGTTCTGTCAGGTGGCCCCATAGCTCACTGCCCCTCACCAGCCACCACCCCCCTCTGAACTCTCATAGATAAATTTCTAGGTGGCATCTGCCTTTCGCTTGTAGAGTTAAAGGTGTTCCCACCTACCAACCCATCGAGAAGTGAGTGTCTGTCTTCTGCAGTGAGGAGGTGAAGGTGAGAGCGGGAGGGGGCTGACATGCAATGAGCTCCTGTTCAGTCCTGTCCAGGATGCTCACATGTGTGGCTATTCTGTGTGGTGAGTGTCTCCAGGTGGGCCAGTTCGTGGTGGTCAGCATGAGCAGGTACTCCCAAACAGTCTCAGAGCGTGTGCTTCCACCCTTTGCTTCTGCTCCATCAGCAGTGCAGGCATATTCTGGCTGCTCTTCCTCTCTAGCAGTGAGTCTTACTGAAATTGGGAGTATTTATATTGTTCATCTGTTAGGAGTGTGGTGATGGCCTAAGCATCACAGTTCTTTGTTTCACCAGCTCCTCCTGCAGCTACCTGTTTGGTGTTAACAGTAAAACAGTATCTTCTGCATTTTTCAGTCCTTAGAAAAATATAATTTTAATGGTGTAGCTAACTGAATCTCACTGAAGGAGAGAATTTGTTGAAGGCTGGCAAAACTTCCTTATATTCCATATAGGGGACTCGCATCTCCTTTCAGGTGTGGGTGTGAAGGCTGGCTTCCGTGGGTGACTGGACTATCGGGTGCTGAGAGCTGGGAGGAGGGCATGGCCTAGGGCCAGCTGGGTGGGCAGTACAGTGTCCCCCACTGGACTCTGCAGATTATCTTTAACTCTAGATGCCTTTTCTATAGATAAAAATAAATGGATTATTAATATTTTTTTTTCTCTGTGTGTTGCACTTTGGCAATTTGACAGCTGATATTGGGTATTTTTATTGTATCTCAGTTCTCTGTAACTTACACGTCTAATCAAAGTTAACTGAATGGGAGGATCTAACTTTGAACTACCATAGTTCTTTTACTTTTTAAATTTAACTTTGTAATACATTCTGTAGCTATAATAGATACTGATGATGTTTTATTTTAAACCTGTTTATGTAATATTTTTGTTTTGCAGTAAATTCTATAAAATTCCACCCATCAGAGCAGTTGGCTCTCACTGGTATGTTGACTTAATTTCTTTATTGAACAAAGTTGTTGATAATCTTAAAACAGCTATAATCATTCTCTTATCAGTAGCATCAAGATTATCCATGTCTTGTACAAAAGTCAGATGTGTGTTAGTAGACGTTTATGAATTATGTGAGAAATAAGAAAAATACATTAAGTAGTACTTCTTTTAATCAGTAGTGGATTGCGAATTACATGAGCTTGACTTTATTGTGAGATTAACATGGATCCATGTTCTTGGTGTCTTTTTATGAAGGACATCATAGTTGCCCACTTTCCCTGCTTGTGCCATGATGATTCTCAGCAGACTGTAACTCAGTTCTCTAAGGCCCATTATTCCTGCTGAGTTCCTGATTCAGCACTTCAAATACAAAAATGAGAAAAAAAGTAGTTCCAAGTCACAGCAATCTGCATTCTTATTCTTTTCTAGGTAGTTCTCCTAAGCTGTGGTAGCTTGGGTTTATCGTATTTTACATAGTGATTTTAAAAACGCCTTCATTATTATACTGAGAAATTTTCCTATAAAATTCCAACCCCTATGGTGTTTTGGGGACACTGACAGTAATCTTGAAGTATAGTGTTTGGATGGACCAGAGGTCAGAGGACTTTGTCTGTAAAGGACCAGAAGTAAATGTTTTCATCTTTGAGGGCCACAGAGTCAGTGTCATAACTACCCAGCTCTGTGTTAGTGGGAAAGTAGTGGACGTGGCTGAGTGTAGTAAATGTTATTTGCAAAAGGGGTAGCTGCCTGGATTTGGCCCGTGGGCATGATTTTGCTGATCCCTGGGATAAAGAACAAAAGTAGTTGTAATTGGGTGCTGTTACATGTGAGTGGAATACAGTGGGAAGGTCAGTTTGAGAGTCACAGGCCTGACCATGGTAGCTAGTTGATACCTGAAAAAACATTTGGGGAATAAGGTAGATGAGGACTTTAGACTTTACTAAATCAACTGTTTGTTATGTAATCGGGAAGAGGAAAGATGGAGGGAGACCAGCAACAACAAAAGGTTGGAAAGGAGGGGGTGAAATCAAGAGACAACTCAGAAGGGAACTGATGGAAACTGAAACAGATAAAGTAGTGGGCTGGTGCTCATTCGAAGAGAGATTGGCAAGTCAGGCAGTAAATGCATTTGACACTTGAGAAAGGTACCACCCTCTGCGTGTGGCCAATTCTTTGGGTAAGCTCTGCAGCCAGAAGACAAGATGGGATTAGCAGGTGCTCTTGTGAGGGTCAGTGGAGACGACTGTTTGGCACATCTGCTGCCTTTCTGGGCCTTTAGCTGCCCTCTCTTTCCAGTCCCAAGTCCAAGCATCACTTTGCAGAGTTCGCTGGTGAAAGTGAGATGTTAGTACTTATGTAGTGCCTGGCAGATCGTGAGGTCCATGAGTGTTGAGTGGATGGGACTGTGCATTTGTGTGTTACTCACTTTTCTGAAATACCTCAGAACCTATTATAGGCACCAGTTAGAGTATAATTCAGTTTCAGTTTATTTAGGTTAGGACGGTAGTTGGAGAATACAATCTATTTGTAAGTTTACTCTGAACTCTCATAGCTTTCCACCCTAAAATTAAAAGGGGAACATTTTTATAAGTAATTACCTTAATTTTGTGTATTTGCTCTATTCTCAATAGCATTATGCGGTCTCAGAAATAGCTACTTGAGTGAAGTACATTCATCTCAGTAACGATCACTAAGTTACACACTTCTGAGGATGCTCTGAGCCTTACAGAGGCACTTCTTATATCTGGTGTGCACTTGGATGATTTCCCCATTTCTCTCCTCAGCTTCTGGAGACCAGACTGCTCACATTTGGAGATACGCGGTTCAGCTGCCGACACCCCAGCCTGTGGCCGACACTAGTGTAAGCAGCACATTTACTTGAAAACGTGACCTGGGGTATGTTGGTGGGGTTCTGGATGTCTGCAAATATTAGGATAACTTTGTAATATCTTATGGACTGAATATTTGTGTCTCCCCAACATTCAGAGGTTGGAGTTGTAACCCCACTATGGCTGCATTTGGAGATAGGGCCTGTGAGGAAGAAATGAAGGTTACATGGGGTCATAGAGCAAGGTCCTGATCCTAAAGAATTAGTGCCTTTACAAGAAGAGACACCAAAGATCTCTCCCTGTATACACCTGGGAGAGGCCATGTGAGGACATAATGAGAAGGTGGCCATCTGCACGCCAGGAAGAAAGTTCTTTCCAGAACACATATTGGCCATCCTTTGATCTTGGCCACCCAGTCTTGGTGCTTCGTTCTGGCAACCTGTGCAGACCAAGGCTCTGTCTAAGAAGTACCTTTATTTATATACTAGAGGTCTGGTGCATGAAATTTGTGCATGGGGTGGGGAGTGGTCCCTCAGCCCAGCCTGTACCCTCTCGGGATGTCAGACTTACCAGCAGTTGGACATCACTCTCACAATCTGGCACTGCTGGCTCTTAACCACTCGCCTCCCTGTCTCCCTGATTGCCCCTAACCACTCTGCCTTCCTGCCTCATTGCCCCTAACTACTCGCCTGCCTGCCTGATTGCTCCTAACCCCTCTGCCTGCCTGCCTGATCGCCCCTAACCCCTCTGCCTGCCTGCCTGATACCCCTAACTACTTGCCTGCCTACCTGATCACCCCTAACCCCTCTGCCTGCCTGCCTGATTGCCCCTCCATTGGGGATTGAACCTGCAAACCAGGCATGTGCTCTGACCAGGAATCAAACCTTGACCCCTGGTTCACAGGTCGATGCTCAACCACTGAGCCATTCTGGCTGGGCACATATTTTATTTTTTAAATTGTTTTATTGCTTAAAGTATTACAAAGGGTATTACATATGTCTCCTTTTTTCCCCTGCCCTTGACAATCCCCTGGCCGCCCCTACCCCCCAGTGTCTTATGTCCATTGGTTATGCTTATATGCATGCATTATAAGTCCTTTGGTTGATCTCTTACCCCCCCATTCTGCCTCCCTACTCTCTCCGGCCTTCCCGCTACAGTTTGACAATCTGTTTGAGGCAGCTCTGCCTCTGTATCTATTATTGTTCAAAAGTTTATAATGGTCTCTATTTCCATGAATGAGTGAGATCATGTGGTATTTTTCCTTCATTGACTGGCTTATTTCACTTAGCATAATGCTCTCCAGTTCCATCCATGACGTTGCAAATGGTAAGAGTTCCTTCCTTTTTAGAGCAGCATAGTATTCCATCGTGTAGATGTACCACAGTTTTCTAATCCATTCATCTCCTGATGGGCACTTAGGCTGTTTCCAGATCTTAGCTATGGTGAATTGTGCTGCTATGAACATAGGGGTGCATATATCCTTTCTGATTGGTGTTTCTGGTTTCTTGGGATATATTCCTAGAAGTGGGATCACAGGGTCAAATGGGAGTTCCATTTTCAGTTTTTTAAGGAAACTCCATACTGTCTTCCATAGTGGCTGCACCAGTCTGCATTCCCACCAGCAGTGCACAAGTGTTCCTTTTTCTCCACATCCTCTCCAGCACTTGTCGTTTGTTGATTTGTTGATGATAGCCAGTCTGACAGGTGTGAGATGATACCTCATTGTTGTTTTGATTTGCATCTCTCGGATGATTAGTGACTTTGAGCATGTTTTCATATGTCTCTTGGCTTTCTGAATGTCCTCTTTTGAAAGGTGTCTATTTAGGTCCTTTGCCCATTTTTTGATTGGATTGTTTATCTTCCTTTTGTTAAGTTGTATGAGTTCCCTATAAATTTTGGAGATTAGGCCCTTATCAGATATGACATTGGCAAATATGTTTTCCCACACAATGGGTTTTCTCGTTGTTTTGTTGATGGTTTCTTTTGCTGTGCAGAAGCTTTTTATTTTGATGTAGTCCCATTTGTTCATTTTCTCTTTCGTTTCAAGTGCCCTAGGAGCTGTATCAGTGAAGAAATTGCTTCGGCATATGTCTGAGATTTTGTTGCCTTTGGATTCTTCTAGAATTTTTATGGTTTCCTGTCGTACATTTAAGTCCTTTATCCATTTTGAGTTTATTTTTGTGTATGGTGTAAGTTGGTGGTCTAGTTTCATTTTCTTGCATATATCTGTCCAATTTTCCCAACACCATTTATTGAAGAGACTATCTTGGCTCCATTGTATGTTCTTGCCTCCTTTGTCAAATATTAATTGAGCATATTGGTTCGGGCTGATTTCTGGGCTCTCTATTCTATTCCATTGATCTATATGCCTATTCTTGTGCCAGTACCAGGCAGTTTTGAGAACAGTGGCTTTGTAATACAGTTTGATATCTGGTATTGAGATCCCACCTACTTTGTTCTTTTTCAGGATTGCTGCAGCTATTCGGGGTCTTTTTTTATTCCAGATGAATTTTTGGAGAGTTCGTTCTAGATCTGTGAAGTATGCCATTGGTATTTTAATGGGAAGTGCGTTGAATTTATAGATTGCTTTGGGTAGTATGGACATTTTAATGATGTTGATTCTGCCAATCCATGAACACGGTATGTTCTTCCATCTGTTTATGTCTTCCTCTATATCTTTTTTCAACGTCCTGTAGTTTTCTGAGTAGAGGTCTTTTACCTCTTTAGTGAAGTTTATGCCTAGGTAGCTTAACTTTTTGGTGCGATGGTAAATGGGATTTTTTTTTAGTCTCTCTTTCTGAAAGTTCACTATTGATGTATAGAAATGCCTTAGATTTCTTGGGGTTAATTTTGTATCCTGCTACATTGCCAAATTCATGTATTAAGTCTAGTAGTTTTTTGATGGAGTCTTTAGGGTTTTGTATGTATAATATCATGTCGTCTACAAATAGGGACAGTTTTACTTCCTCTTTTCCAATTTGGATGCCTTTTATTTCTTCTTCTTGTCTAATTGCAATGGCTAATACTTCCAGTACTATGTTGAACAGGAGTGGTGAGAGGGGGCATCCCTGTCTTGTTCCTGTTCTTAGGGGAAATGGTGTTAGTTTTTGTCCATTGAGTATGATGTTGGCTGTGGGCTTGTCATATTTGGCTTTTATTATGTTGAGGTATGATCCTTCTATTCCCACCTTGCTGAGAGTTTTTATCAAAAATGGGTGTTGGATTTTGTCAAATGCCTTTTCTGCATCAATTGATATGACTGTGTTTTTTTTCTTTCAATTTGTTTATGTGATGTATCACGTTTATTGATTTTCGGATATTGTACCATCCTTGTATCCCTGGGATAAATCCTACTTAGTCATGGTGTATGATCTTTCTGATGTACTGCTGGATCCGATTTGCTAAGATTTTGTTGAGGATTTTGGCATCTATGTTCATGAAGGTTATTGGCCTGTAATTCTATTTCTTTGTGTTGTCTTTACCTGGTTTTGGTATTAGGGTGATGCTGGCTTCATAGAATGAGCTTGGAAGTGTTCCTTCCTCTTGAATTTTTGTAGTAGTCTGAGGAGGATAGGTTTTAGTTCTTCCTTGAATGTTTGGTAAAACTCCCCTGTGAAGCCGTCCGGTCCTGGGCTTTTGTTTGCTGGAAGCTTTTTGATGACTGCTTCAATTTCTTCCATAGTTATTGGCCTGTTGAGATTTTTAGATTCTTCCTGATTGAGTTTTGGAATGTTGTATTTTTCTAGGAATTTGTCCATTTCCTCCAGGTTGTCTAGTTTGTTGGAGTAGAGTTGTCCATAGTATTTTTTTAACAATCATTTGTATTTCTGTGGGGTCTGTTGTTATTTCGCCTCTATCATTTCTGATTTTGTTTATTTGGGTCCTCTCTCTTTGCTTCTTGGTGAGCCTGGCTAGAGGTTCGTCAATCTTGTTTATCCTTTCAAAGAACCAGCTCTTGGTTTCATTGATTTTCTGTATTGTTTTTTTGGTTTCTATGTCATTTATTTCTGCCCTAATCTTAATTATCTCCTTCCCTCTGCTCACTCTGGGGTTTTCTTGTTGCTGTCTTTCTAATTCTTTGAGTTGTAGAGTTAGATGATTTACTACCATTTTTTCTTGTTTTTTGAGATAGGTCTGTAGAGCTATAAACTTCCCTCTCAGGACTGCTTTCATTGCGTCCCATAGGTGTTGTATTGTTATCAATATTTAATAACATGCTATTCAGCTTCCAAGTGTTTGAGTATTTTGGGTTGTTTTTATTGTAGTTTATTATCTAATATTATGCCCTTGTGGTCTGAGAAGATGGTTGGTATGATTTCAGTCTTCTTGAAATTGGGGAGACTTTGTTTGTGATCCAATATGTGGTCTATTTTTGAATGTGTCTTATGAGCACTTGAGTAGAATGTATATTTTGTGGCTTTGGGGTGAAGTCTTCTGAAGTGTCAATTAAGTCCATCTGATCTAGTGAGTCATTTAGGATTGCTGATTATTTGTCTAGAGGATTTATCCAGTGATGTCAGTGGTGTATTAAAGTCCCCTACTATGATTGTATTGTTGTCGATCTCTCCTTTGATATCTTCCAGTTTTTTTTATGTATTTGGGTGCTCCTGCATTGGGTGCATATATGTTTATCAGGGTTATATCTTCTTGTTGTATTGATCCCTTTAGTATTATGAAGTGCCCTTCCTTATCTCTTGTTATGGCCTTCACTTTGAGGTCTATTTTGTTCGATATAAGTATTGCTACCCCAGCTTTCTTTTCCTTTCCATTTGCCTGAAAGATATTTTTCCATCCCTTCACTTGCAGTCTGTGTGAGTCCCTTCTTCTGAGATGGGTCTCTTGTAGACAGCAAATGTATGGGTCATGTTTTTTTATCCATTCAGCCACTCGATGTCTTTTGGTTGGAGCATTTAGCCCCTTTACATTTAAAGTTATTATTGAAAGGTACTTGTTTGTAGCCATTTCTTTTTTTGTGTTGCTGTTTTCTTTCTGAGCTTTTTATTTCTTCTTTTTACATCAGTCCCTTTGGCAT